ATGGACTTTGTCTTAGGATTGCCTAAGATTAGACACAAGGATTCAATCTTTGTCGTCGTGGACCGGTTCTCCAAGATGGCACACTTCATCCCACGTGACAAGACCAATGACGCTACTCAAACCGCGGATTTGTTCTTCAAGGAAGTGGTGCGCCTCCATGGTATCCCGAGAACCATCGTTTCTGATCGTGACACCAAGTTCTTGAGTCACTTTTGGAAGACACTTTGGAGAAAGTTAGGTACCAAGTTTCTATTCTCTAAAACTTGTCATCCTCAAACGGATGGACAAACCGAAGTGGTAAACCGAACTCTCTCAACTTTACTTAGAGCCACTCTTGGTAGGAATATGGCTACATGGCTTGATTGCATTCCTTTTATTGAGTTTGCTTATAATCGTGCCGTTCACTCGGCTACAAAACTATCTCCCTTCGAGATAGTCTACGGAACTAACCCTTTATGTCCCATAGATTTAGCACCTTTACCTCAGATAGAACAGGCTTGTCAAGTTGGGTTAAGACGAGGAGAAGTCATAAAGAAGTTGCATGAAAAAGCAAAAGACAACTTGGAGAAGAAGGCCGTCGACAACAAACGCAAAGCTGATCGAGGAAGAAAAGAAGTGTTATTTGAACCAGAAGATTGGGTCTGGTTACATATGAGGCCTGAGAGGTTTCCAACACAAAGAGCATCCAAGCTATCACCAAGAGGCGACGGACCATTCAAGATCCTCGAGAAGATCAATGACAATGCTTACCGTTTGGAGCTACCTAATGAGGTAAAAATTTCTCATACTTTTAATGTCGCTGACTTGTCTGCTTATGATCCAGGAGATTCAGTTTTGAGGGGAAAACCTTTTAAAGAGGGAGGGAATGATGCAGACATCGATTATCCTGTCCAACCCGCTGAACTAGATCAAGTACCAGATCCTGTACCACACCCTGTACCAGTCGTCCCAATAGGTCCCATGACTCGTTCAAAGTCTAAACAACTTAGAAAGAGGTTCAATCTAGCTGTACAAGACATTGTGAGCTCACTAGAGCTGAACTACGTCAACTGGTCTGTACCACCGGTACTCCATCATGACGGATATGATCCCATCGCCGAAGAAGAGCTTGCTGAAACATTCACCCAAATGAGTCTTGAACATACCATTTCCCCAGGTATGAATTCTCCTTTGACAGGTCAAGAAACCTCTAGAATCCAAGAGAAGACAATGGAGTCACAAGAGACGAGAAAAACAAGCTTCACCTTCGAGAGTGATCAAGAGAGTGAAGATCAAGAACAAGACATCACGGACTTGGAAGAGCTTCAAGAGACTGATCAAGCTACCCAAGAGAAACTCCAAGAAACCATCTACTTCAAGAAACCAACAAACAAACAGGCACCTGACAAGACCCCTGAAGTAGATCAAGACGTATTTCAGAGAACATCGACTGGGCCTAGATTGCATCCAGGTAAGTTCTATTCAATATTTTCGATACTTGCAGGTCCATTAAGCCCCAACAACGGCTAGGAGACGTGCTCATCACGAGGTTTCAAGTTTGCTTTAGTATTTTACTTATTTTCTTTCCAAAAACAATGGCTTTGTATTTGTAGTTTTATTTGTTTCCTTTGTTGCATTTTTACATTTATTTCGGCCTTAGGGCTAGCTGAAGGACTCTTATAACGTCCCCCTGCAGCAGTTGTACGAGTTTTCACCCTATTATCAATAAAGAACCCGAATTTTCTTCAATTTTCTCCTTAAGTGTTCTTAAGAGAAAAGCTTGTCCTTTGTCTTGTGTGTGTGATTCCACAAGGCTGAGTTCGTGTACTGTATCAGAGACTAATCACATCTCTGTGGTGTACTTCAATCCGCCAACACTTCCCCTTTATTCGATCCCACACGAGAGAAGCGACCGCCATCGTGTCAGATCTACATCAACGACCATCTTTCCTTCAGAAGAGAGAAGCGACCGCCATCTTGTGAAGCCATCATATCTATCCTAATACAAGCTCCCCACCGAGTCTTGTATCACAGTTATAGAGCAAGAGGAACACAAATCTAGAGGGTCAGAAACATATATCTAAACAGTACAGAGCAATAATAAATGAGATGCATAGGAATCCTCGAGTGTTTCAGAAGGTTTAACGTGCTTTTCAAGGAGCCTTCCACGATGAACTTTGGCACTGATGAGAGTCGTTTATAGTAAATATAACATTAGCATCATAATTCATTCTAGGTTAAATAAGACACGGTTATGGTTAATTCATTCCTTAAACTCTCCAAGATGCTTTTCTTACCCTAGTTTAAACTAAAAGGAGGTAATTTGGATTACCTCAATTTGGCTACCATCAAAGGCATGATTCTCTGTAATAGACTCGATCGACTCCCCGGACGATATGCTGGAGTTGAGTCAAAATTCCAATCTCCAGGGGTACCAATATTGTTACTCGAACCCTGGTGAGAGACCCTTTAAACATGCAGAGTTACTACCACTTTGATGGGTGAGAACTGGTGACTTAGGGGCGGATTGGTGACAACTTTTAAGGCTTTAAAACCATTTTAAAGCCTTAACAGCATTTTTTTTGCCAATCAACTTTTTTTTTTACTTTTTTTTTTAAAAGCCTTTAAAGCGACTTTAATTTTTTCGTTCTTTATTTTTTCTTCATTCTTAGAGCCTCAATATCACGGCTTTGAAACCAAAAAATTCTAAAAGCTATTTTTTTCTCCCCATAATAATTACAAACTGTTTACAGATTTATATATATTTTTTGAACTTTTTTATGTAAATTAATTATCAGCACTATTTTTCCTTTCTTTTAACATCCATTTCTCTTTATAAATTTAATATTTTCACTATCACCATTATATCCTTGTAATTTCATTAAAAAATTAAAATTTATCATTTGTCACTATGTTACATATGAATTTATTATCATATATTTATAAAATTATATATAATAGAAAAAAGAAAATATTGCATCTTTTAAAGTTATTTTTGTTGATAATTAGATTTTAAAAAGTTAAAGTGTTTACAGCAAAGTTTTTACCGTCAAAGTCTCTACAGTCAAAGTCTTTACAGTCAAAGTCTCTACAACCATAAGTAACAGTCGTTACCAATCGACCTCTTAATCTCTATTTAATAATGACTTAAATGCACAACTCGATATAATTACCGGTTACTACAGTTCGGTAAAGATTTCTATAGCAAAATCATACAAACTGATCAATTCTCGTTTTAATTATGGTTTCGTTAAAAATTACGAGAACAAACCTACCAAGAACAGTTGCGCTCATGTGAGCTAGAATTCGTATGAACTAAATAATCACCAAGAGAACAAAATGAAAAGCTCAACGATGATCAAAACTTGTGGTGAAAATCTTCAAATTGATATGTATACTAAAATCTTTTAGTGTAGTTTTGATTTGCAAACCTATCACTTACCAATCCAAGATAAAAAAGAAAACTCAAATCCCTTACAGTGGAGATTTTTTAAAGAGATGTCCTAACTCTCTTCTAAAAAACGATACGCTTTAATTTGTTACACACACACACATCAATCAACACATATCTTCCTCAATTCAATACTCTTCTATATATTTAATTTAATTTATATACAACTCACTATACTCTCAAGGCTCTGCTACAACAATATGTTTCTTCTTTGCATATTAAAATGTCTCAGCGACTCTTTTTGAGCTAATACACGTGCCTCTCCTCGCCCATCATGTTTGCGTCTAAACTGTGTTATTGTTTTTTCTGATTGTCTTTAGAATTAGTCTAACCATCGATCATGACTGTATTTTAAAACATTATCTCATGCATTTTCTAGTTAGCCAAACGCTATTCAAACCGGCGACCTCTAATCTTTTGCCAGATATCCTTACCAATTGAGCTAGTAGCACTTGGTTATGAGAGAGAAATTAGCTTTACTAAACATGTTGAATTGCAATTTCTAGTTAGCCATGTTTGTTTGAGCTAGTGCTTTGAGTGAGAGCAAACATTTGGTTAATAAGTTGTTTATTTATCAAACGTCTTAGGACTAACGAGTTCTTCTCAACCTTTGTTCAAAAAGATTCCAAAATTTTAGATTTAGGGCCAAACAAACTCAAGATTATCAAACAACTATTGTGTAGAGATTTTATGTACTTGCATGTTCCTCTATACATTTTGACCTTGTCCAAACACTTGTCTGGAATCATGGCTAGAACAGAACGATGACCATTCATCCTTCATCCTTGGATCATATTCAACCTGAAGATAGTACTTACAGAGCAAGAGCAACACAAATCTAGAGGGTCAGAAACATAAATCTAGATAGCTACAGAGCAATGATAAATGAGACGCATTGGAACCCTCGAGTGTTTTAGAAGGTTTTCCAGTTAACTTGCTTTTAAAGGAACCTTTGACGATGAACTTTGGCGCTGATGAGAGTCGTTTTATAGTAAGTATGATGGGAACAGAACAGCGCCTGTCCGGAGCATAAGAAACCTAATAAGGGCTCTCCATGGGAAGGTTCAAGGTTGAATAAGTCAAGGTTATGCTTAATCCATTCTTTAAAGTCTCCAATATGCTTTTCTTACCCTAGTTTAAACTAAAAAGAGGTAATTTGGATTACCTTGATTTGGCTACCATCAAAGGCATGATTCTCTGTGATAAACTCGATCGACTCCCCGAACGATATATTGGAGTTGAGTCAAATGTTCCAATCGTATGGGGTACCAATTGTTAGTTTCTATGAGACTAAGCTCATAATAGAGAGTAGACAATCACTTGGTGAATGAATCTCTCTAGAACCATACAAGGGAACTCGTTCTTAAGATGAAGAGACCATCAACTTGTGATGGAATCCACACATATATCCAACAATATATCTGAATATACTAGAGATTAAATCAAGTATATAAAGGAGAAAGCATCTCGTTAGTGTTAGATTTGAGGAACAAAAATGAGAAAGAGATTGGGAGAGAAGGTGAATTGTAACCAAGAATAGAAGAGAGAGAATTGCTCTCCCTTACTTCATTAGGTTTACAGCCACACATATATGTAGGTGGGATAAGGGATAAGCTTACAAGGAAAGCTAATAATATAAATAATGCTAATCTATTTTATCTCTTAACATCCCCCGTATGTATAGTATAGACCAATATAGAGACGAGCCTAATGGTCTATACTATGCGAACTTAGTCAATAAAGAATAGACTAATATAAAGTAGAACATAATGGTCTATTCTATCTTGACATACTCAATACTCCCCCTCAAGATTAAGTGTAGAGACATCGGAGGTTAAGCTTGGAGATACACGAGCCTAGTTGAGTGTCACACTTCATTGAACACCATTAAGCTCGGCCTCGTCTTCTAGACTTCGGCCTTAGGTTCTCCTTTCTCTTCTTCCTCTCTAATACTCCCTCTCAAGCTTGGGCAGCGGGAACCAAATGCCAAGCTTGCAACACGCAAATGACTACCTCATTAAAAAAACCTTAACAAAGAAAACCTCTTGGGACAAAACTTTGTTAAGGGAAAAAGAGTATAGTCTTCACGGTTGAATGATGTAGCTATGACCATGGTTTGAATATGAGATCTCTTTGGCTTCTTGCTTTGACTTCTTTTTGAGACTCTAATCCTCCGTGTGTGTACTCGCTTGAGGGCTTTCTCCCTCTCGGTCACCACCATGGATTGATCTTCCTTGAGTCAAGCTAGAATTATCCATCCGGTTCTCTTCTTCTCATCTAGCTTTTTTGCACCTTCAACAAAAATATGTAAAGAAATCTTAAGTGTATTGGCCACAAGGATAACATTAAGCTAGATTGAGACTAAATAGACCAAACTCAAATTGAACTAGTCTCTTACTAAGCTCAATTTAAACACAACAGTACAAATAAGAATTTAAACATGCAAATCCAATTGAAACATGACAGATTAAGCATGATTAATCCGAGTAAATTGAAGACAAATCTCTAAAAACAAAACTTAAAATTCATTCTCTAAATTCAGATTCTAAGCATGACAAAGTCACTTTAAGTGCATGGCTAATCTGAATAAAATGTGAGCAATGAATTAAAGATATTGAAAGAGTTAAGGGTTTAGAGATAGCCTTTTGTCTTCATTGTTGTAATGTATTTGGTTGAGACTTGTTTTCCACCACCACTTGAGTTTCTGCCCCATGGGTCTCCTCTTCATGGTTGATGACTTACTAGAACTCAATGCACCTCTTCTACATCCAACTTTGGATGAGCTTCATGGTTGGCTTGGAGACTTCTTCTCCAGACGCTTCCTTTTAGGATTATTGGAGCTTCTTTCACAGCTCCACATTACATATAAGCCCCAAAACATGATGGAGATGATCCATCGGTTAACCACCAGCCTTGTATCTCCACTAGTCCTTCCATCTAGCTTTATCTCTCTCGGTCAGCTTTAAATAGGTTCACCACGCTTGAGAGAGCCATATATACTCTTCCCTCGGGTCATCCTTTGTACCGCCGGAGTTTAGTACTATGGTTGAAACTATCAAGTGGTCTTGAAGCTGAATGAGACCTTCTTTGAAGCTTCCTTGATTATTCGCTTCTTTAAAGATCTTCTAGAGCTCCATGAGGGTTGTTTACACTTTTCTCCCCCTCAAGTTTGGTTTGAAAGTTGAATGAGAGCCAATCTTGGAGGTTTTTACACACCCTTCTTTAGCTCCGGAAGTGTTCTTTGACTTCTCCTTCTTTGTATCTTTCTTTGAAACTTCTTCACAACACCAAGCCTAGCAGCCATTAGCTCTTAAAGCTAATCCTCCTTCATTATCCCTTCTTGGAACAACATCAAGACTAGTATTCTAAGGCTTCTTTCATGACCGCTTCTTAGGTTTCAAGGGCTCCAATTTGGCTTCTTTTGAAGCACTTTTCATGGCCAGGCAATGGCCAATCGACACCTCAACCGACCTCAATAGTCGATAGCTTCTTCTCAGTCGCGTCAGATTGATATATACCCACTGAATCGGGCATAACTTTTGATCTTATCCTCGGTTGTGGGTGATATCACTTTCACTGGAAAGCTTACTCAAATTCCAACAACTTTAATCAATAATGTGGAAGCTGAATCCCAGTGGAAGGCCGTCGTACAAGTTAATCTTTAGGACGCTTTGACAGAGAAATTTCTTGCATGGTTAAGAATTTGCTTCTTCCTCTAAGAGATTTCATTCCTTTTAGTCCTTCATGACTTGATTCCTCTTCTTATGGACCTCTTTGCCTCATCTTGCGTTTCTCTTTGAGAATTTCCACACATGCCTCCTCTCCTTTAACTCTTCAACATGAGATTTAAAGAAATATTTTAAAATATATGTTGTGGGGTTTTAAGAAAAACACTAAATAAAACTTGAGAAACCAAATGAGAGAATTAATTATAGAAATTTAGGAATGAACCTTTATTTCTCTTTTAAATACTATATTTATTTTTAAGAAAATATTTAAACTGAATGTGAAATATTTCAAATATTTTCAAAAACAAATTTAAACTATTTTCAAATAAATATAAATATTTAAATATAAATTCAAACTTGAAATTCAAATTTCAATACTTGAATAAGATGAATTTAAATTTAAAATAGAGAGTTTAGAAGTTAGCCTTTAAATTTGGAGATGTGGTTTAAAACCTCTTTGGGACCACTCTCTTGATTTATTCATGGCTTGGGCCATGTCTTGAGTCAAGAGACCTTATGCCTAGTATGGCTTGACATCTAGTGCACATCCAATCTTGAACTCCAACAACTTGACACTAACACACATGCTTTTGAGCTGATTCATCACCTTCCACCAGCTTGCATTTCCATTAGGCCTCTCCACAAGAACCACAACCAAAGCATTCCCTCTTGGTAAGTCTCTCGGGTTTACCCTTGTATCTTCTGGAGATTAACTAGGTTGGACGTTCTTGTGGATTCCAAAGCTTGGTGGCCCTTGGTTCTAACTACAAGCACTGTGTTGTGCCATTTTGAGACAGCAAACTCACCATCTTCAACGATTGAACCTGTTTTAGACTTAGAAGAACAGATTCTAAACAAGAGATGGTGAGAGATTAGAGAGTAAAGACTGAAAATAAAGAGAGTATAAGTAACAAGAGTATAAGAGAATGATAAAGAATTAGTAATAAGAGAATATAGAGTATAAGCACAGGTAATGAGAATGAACATAGATAAAAAGAGAATAGCCGAAGCAAATAGAATGAGCATAAATAAAAGAGAATTGAGAATTTACTCAAGAGTTCAAATGGACAGAGTTTTGCTCTGGTTTCTTGAGTTTTAAAGAGACTTTAACAGCCAAGAGCATCCAAGAATCATCAAGAGTTTGGTGCTTTAATGGCTGAAACATAATGAACCGTTGGGCAATCGATTTACCCATCGGTTAAAGACATGAACCCACTGAAATAACACATGAACAAGAGTTTTCCAGTGGCTTTAAATCAACATGAACCACAAAATATCATATAGAAGATGATTTTCGTGGCCTTAGTTGCAAAGAAAAAGCAAGAGAAACCTTTGGAAAAAAACAATTTGTCCACCGGTTATAAAAATGCATCTTTTAAGGGAAAAGCCTAAAAATTCGCTATCTATAATTTTTTTCGACGATTAATACATGTACTTTTTTGTTGAACGAAAAAACTTTGTTTATTAAATTTTGTTATAAAAAGTCTTCGTTTATTTAACTTTTGGTAAATTCTTACCCACGATCCCAAATCAAAAATAAAATTCCAATTTTACCCCTACCATTTGAATTAATTATTAATGTTAAAATAATATGGTAGTAATTTTAAATTTTTATTTTTGACTATTAATATTTAGGGTTTAGCGTTTAGGATTTAGAAATTAGTTTTGAATGCTAAAAATTATAGATTGGTTTTTGCGATATTTTTGGAAGAAAACTTATTTTAATGGTATATTTGAAAAATAAAACTTTTAATGATATTTTGGAATAAAATTTATAATTATATTTTTGGAAAAATACTCATTTTAGTGTTATTTTTGATAATTTTCCTTTTTTTTACTACTATAATTTAGTTATAAAATAAATAAAAAAATAAAAATAAAATCTTAAAATACAAAGATTACTTTAGTATTATTGGAGAATATAAAATTTGTAAGCAAAACTGATTTGAAATAACTTAAAAAGATTTGTAATGGATTTATTAATTTGTAAGCAAAATGGATCTGAATATTTTTAATAATTTTTTTTTGTATTTACATTTTCTTTAAACTTTTATAGATTGATTAGATTTTCTTTCTATTTTGAATTTATATTTATACATAAAATAATAATAGTAAACATAATACATCAATAAAATTAGTTTTGAGTTAAAATTTCATTTTTATCAAATAAAATTAATAATTATTTCCATATTATTTAAACATTAATAATTAATTCAGATGGTAGGGGTAAAATTGGAATTGTATTTTTGGTTTGTGATCGTGGATAGGAATTTACCAAAAATTAAATACACGAAGACTTTTTATAACAAAATTAAGTAAACAAAGTTTTTTAGTCCAACTAAAAAAGTACATGTATTAATCGTCCAAAAAAATAATAGATGGCGAATTTTTAGGGGAAGAGAATGAACATAGATAAAAAGAGAATAGCGGAAGCAAATAGAATGAGAATAAATAAAAGAGAATTGAGAATTTACTCAAGAGTTCAAATGGACAGAGTTTTGCTCTGTTTTCTTGAGTTTTAAAGAGACTTTAACAGCCAAGAGCATCCAAGAATCATCAAGAGTTTGGTGCTTTAATGGCTGAAACATAATGAACCGTTGGGCAATCGATTTACCCATCGGTTAAAGACATGAACCCACTGAAATAACACATGAACAAGAGTTTTCCAGTGGCTTTAAATCAACATGAACCACGAAATATCATATAGAAGATGATTTTCGTGGCCTTAGTTGTAAAGAAAAAGCAAGAGAAACCTTTGGAACAAAACAATTTGTCCACCAGTTATAAAAATGCATCTTTTAAGAACAAGCTTATATCCAATGGACTAAGCTATATGGAGATGCCAAAACAAAGATCTCTCTCCCCCTCAAGCTTGAACGTGGGCATTACAACAGTACCAAGAACAAGCTTTCAACAACAAGATGTGAGAGAGAAAGACTTTTAAAACAACAAAGAAAGAGAATGCTTTAAGAACGAGTTCTAGAGTTCTTGAGGAACCAAAAGAGGAACCTGCTCTGATACCATGTTAGCTTCTATGAGACTAAGCTCATAATAGAGAGTAGACAATGACTTGGTTAATGAATCTCTCTAGAACCATACAAGGGAACTCGTTGTTAAGATGAAGAGACCATCAACTTGTGATGGAATCCACACATATATCCAACAATATATCTGAATATACTAGAGAGTAAATCAAGTATATGTAGGAGAAAGCATCTAGTTAGTGTTAGATTTGAGGAACAAAAATGAGAAAGAGATTGGGAGAGAAGATGAATAGTAACCAAGAATAGAAGAGAGAGAATTGCTCTCCCTTACTTCATTAGGTTTACAGCCACACATATATGTAGGTGGGATAAGGGATAAACTTACAAGGAAAGATAATAATATAAATAATGCTAATCTATTTTATCTCTTAACATCCCCCGTATGTATAGTATAGACCAATATAGAGACGAGCCTAATGGTCTATACTATCCAAACTTAGTCAATATAGAATAGACCAATATAAAGTAGAACATAATGGTCTATTCTATCTTGACATACTCAATACCAATATTGTTACTCGACCCCTAGTGAAAGAAACCCTTTAAACATGCAGAGTTACTACCACTTTGATGGGTGAGAATAGGTGAATGGTAACCTTATCTCTATTTAATAATTACTTAAACGCATAACTCTTAATATAATTACCCGGTTTACTACGGTTCGGTAAAGATTTCTAGAGCAAAATCATACAACTGATCAATTCTCGGTTTAATTACGGTTCGTTAAAGAAGAGTTACGCTCATGTGAGCTAGAATTCATATGAACTAAAGATTCACCAAGAGAACAAAATGAAAAGCTAAACGATGATCAGAACTTGTGGTACATCTTCAATTTGATATGTATCACTTATCACTTACCAATCCAAGATACAAAAAAAACTCCAATCCCTTACATTGGATATTTGTCGAAGAGATGTCCTAACTCTCTAACAAACCATACACTTTGTTACACACACACACACACACATCACTACTCTTATATCTATTAAATTTATAAACAACTCACTAGACTCTCAAGTATTAACAACAATATGTTTTTTCTTGCTCTGTTTTAACTCTGTTTCGCGTGCCTTGCCTGCATCTTTTTGCTTATTCACGTGTCTTAGCGACTTCTTTTGAGTTACCAGACGTGTGTACTTGCTTGTTAACTTGAACATCATCATGTTTGCGTCTAAATTGTAGTGTTCTTTTTTCTGATGGTCTTTAGAATTAGTCTAATCATCGATCATGACTGTATCTTACAACATCATCTCATGTTTTTTGCAACACAGGATTCAAAGACCACGTCGTTGTCCCTAATTTTCTTCTCTGAATAGTAACAGAAACTAAAACTAAAAACAGAACTTTTTTTTTAAAAAGAGGTAATTTGGATTACCTCAAATTGGTTACCATCAAAGGCGTGATTCTTTGTGATAGACTCCCCTACGCGACCGCAATGAGGAGATGCCCGGAATAGAAGAACCGGAGATCACACTACAATATGGCCCGTTTTGGAAGCGGTATCAAGTTTCTTCTGGGAAACCAATATACAATATAACCTCTATAAATTAATACTCTATAAATTAATAAACACTATAAATTAATAAATTTTGCTGGTCCCAAGTTGGACCAATATAAAAATTAACCAAATTCGATAAGATAATAAAATAATAAGTTTTTTCGAAATCCCTATGTAAATATAGTCCCAATAATATCATAAATTAATAATCACTATATATATATATATATATATATAAGTAGTTATGTTAAAATATGCTTTTAGTTTTTTCTAAAAATGAATTTCTCCTAATCCTCATCTCTATAAAAAAAAAATTATGTTATATTTTTAAACTATAATCTTATAAGAAATTCCATAACATCATAAAATAACCAAAATTTTTTAATGTTTTCTATTTATAAAATATTCATCATATTCATTTTTTGTTTGTTTTATAAGATGGTAAAAGATAACAATTGAGGTATTAATCATAAATTTGAATTTATGTATATACTTTGTATAGAAGTGAACTTATTTATAATATTTTTAATTAATTTTTATTATTTTTTATAAATATAGAATTCAATTCTAAATTATTAAAATTTATATAATCTTAAAGACTATTCTTATTTTGTAAAATTGTCCCAATCTATAATTTCAAAAAACTTTAAGAGTTAAAATACCACTATAAATTAATAATTATTAATTTACACTATAAAATAATAGATATTAATTTATAGATAAATTAATATCACTATAAATTATTAAAATTCGGTGGTCCCAACATTATTAATTTATAGAGGTTTTACTGTATTTACTCGATCCCTGGTGAGAGACACTTTCAACATGCTGAGTCTCTACCATTTTTGATGGGTGAGAATTGGTAACCTAATCTCTATTTAGTAATTATTATTACATTAAGTAGTAAACTGCGCTTAAGTCCACAGCTCAATAGCCGGTTGACTAACGTTTGCTAAATTTCTAAAGCAAAAAACATACAACTCAAATTCTCGGTTTAATTACGGTTTGTTCTTGTCCTTTCTCCTCTACAATGTTTTATGAACCAAAAAGTCAATAAAATCAAAATCAATCTTGCATGTGTCTGACAAATCAGATTTGTATTTATTTTAGTGTTTAAACTCTTTTACTAATGACTAAACATTTAATAATTCCAAAAATTGTGGAAATCTCAACTAGAGATGATGTTATAACATACAATTAGAGACGATGTTATAACATACAATTGGTTTCTTCTTTCCCATGGAATGAGCAAGAATCCTCATATTTGGCTTCAACCACCCTATCTGGCATCTGCACGTCACTTGGACCTTAAATGTACAACTCCTGCTTGTGGTACAAAACATTAGAAACTTGTGGTAAACGGAAACATGTGGTACAAGACAATGAAAAATGTATTGATACAATACTTGGAGGTCAAGGAACCAATGTTTACTTTCCGGAGCTGGTCGTCACTCGTACGATACATGGTGAATTCCTCAAAACTATGGAGAGGAAAAGAGCACAAATAGCAAAACCAGGGAGAGGAAAACTCGTCCTGATGAAGAACATGCAGTGTATTGTCTGCAGCATCTGTGGCTTCTTCCAGCAAACTTTTCGATAGCCTTTTTCCAGAAGCAAACATAGAGATGCCTGTAGGTTCTAGAATAGATGGATATGCCCAAAAAAGATTGTATCCTTGCAAACATAGCTGGCAAAAAGACTGAGATGACGCGGTCTCAATTTCAACACTTGGTGGTAGTATTAAATTGGATATGAACATCAAATTATCTGGACATGGATTATGGCGAATCCAAAACTACAAATAGGCCACAAGGCCAAATAAACCTGTTATACAATATATAGAAGCAACAACTCAATAACAAACACATCAAGCTGATGAATCTCAAACACTAATTTAAACACCTTTATCGACGTTTCTAAGAGCGATTCCAGTGGAAGATAATGATTCCAGGACATGAGTAGGGATGTTTTTAGTTTACCAATGACAGTGATGGTGATAGGACCAGAGACGCCTGACCTCCAGCGCTGATACTATAGCTGGACAGACCAGACGAGGATCATAATCTTTGGGAACCGGACAGGTAACAATGTCCCAAAACACGATGTTTTCGCCATTAGAAATAAAAGAAGATCAATCAGATGTGAAACTAATCGTTCTTAAAACCCTGTAACTGTAAATCTTTTATATATAAACCGATAGAGGTTTGTATGGGCCGTGACCTCTTTTTTATGATTTAATTTTTCTAATGGCTCATTAGTTGTGTCTTTGTGCAACAAGACAAAAACTAACGTAACCTTTGAAGTTTGATGTAGAAATCGACACTGTTAATTACTCTCACGTATAAGATTTGGAAACAAAGACCAAGAAAACCAAACTTGGATACGAAGAAATGACGAACTAATGTGAAAAAGATGGTGTAAAAGCATGATGAAGGGTTCTGATATACACATGACCCAGAGCCAAAGAGTATGTACAAAAAAATAAAGAGAAAGAAAAATTCAGCCTTTAAAACTTACCAAATGGTTTTTCTTCCAGTCCCGGAAAGGTAAGAGTACTCTATAGACCTAAACCCAGCTCTGATTCTTGAAATTTTTCCTCATCAGAACCCGAAACCCTACAAATCTCGTAATGCAAACTTCTTGCTTCTAGGATATCAATACTATTACCATTACCATTGTTAGCTATTCGATTTGGACGAGATACTAGGAGTAGTTGCTGGCTTCGCCTTGTGTTGGATGCTTTTCATGCTCAGCTCCATGCTTCTATGAACCATGTCCTGCAACAGTTTCTTAGCCGTGCTAGCAGCTTTTTCTGCCCCGTCGACTTGTACTGCTATGCCATAGACAATTTTCTCTAGTATCAGTGGAGCCATTTCTTTCTCACGAGGGGTCTCTCTTAGTAGGTCCAAGAGGACTCTGGCTCTATCTCGGGACTTTGAAGTTCCTTCTACTGTAGAACTAAGCAGACCCGGGATTGCACCTTCTTTTAGTATGAGTTTCCGATACTTGTCTCGGTTACTGCGGCATAGAGAAAGCAACGCTCCAACCGCATGTTCTATGCTGAGTGGAGAACCATCCTCTACAGTCTCTACTAGAGTCAGAATACCAGATTCACAGCTGGTGATGGCATGCCGCCCGTCCTCAGAGTTAGAAAGTATCATCTCAACCAAGGCTGTAGCTTTTTCGGCAAACTTGGAATGTTTTTTGCATTCTTTGAGTAGGTGGATGAGCGGGGACACGGCTTTAGCATCTAGAATGGAGGCGGAATACTCTTTGCAAGCAGAAAGATTATGAAGGGCCGTGACTGCATCTACTTTCCCCTGAACAGTACCAGAGCTAAGCATCTGAACCAGAAGTGGTGGAACTCCAGATGTTATAATCGTTGCCTTATTAGCTGGCGCAGCTGAGAGTGTTAGAATTGCCGCAGTTGCCAATTCACGCAAACTAGCATTGTGGAGCTTCAGAATCTGTATCAGAGGAGGAAGGGCTCCAGCTTTTACAATCTCAATCTTATTCCTGATCAGAATTCGCAACCAAATATTAGTCAGAATTAGTTAATGACCATCCACATAGCAAGAAACTTCAGGTAAAGCTGCATTTAGAAGATCAGAACATAAAATCGTTAACCACATAACAACGACACACTAATATCTATCACGAATCAGAAACGGGACTGCCATTGCTAATCAGTTCCAACTTCCAAATGTGCAATGCCTGTATGGAAGTGAGAATTTGGATGTGAGCTGAATTAAACTCAATATCGTTGTGGTTTCTACAGATCTTAAGTCACAATATAGATACTCTCAGTTAACTAAGTTGCCTTAAGACTCATTCAGAAACTGCAAACCCCAAATCAAAGTCTAATCTCTAACCAGAGATTCGTGAAGTTTCTTAATAACTACCTAAGGCCTCAGATCGAACATTGAATCTTAAAAACCTAAAACAATTATCTTAGAGATTACCGTTCATTTCTAACGGCGAGGTTAAGGAGAGCGAGGAGAGAAGCGTGACGAGCATCAATGTTAGAGGAGATAAGCATAGGAACAAGCGGCGGGATAACTCCGGCGTCGGCGAGCTTTGACCTAGCCGAAGACTTCACCGGAGACTTTCTAAGCATCTTCCGGATTTCCCTAGCGGCTTCAATTCGGAAATCGAGATCTCCATGTAGAAGCTTCTTAGAGAGATGTAGAATCAGCGATTCCTTGGTGTTTTTCCATGTGTTGGTGGTGGAGGTGGTGGTTTCTTCCTCTGCTTCGTCTTCCGATACAGTCGCCGTCATCGCTGAGTCGCCGGCGATGGAATCCATTATCTGATTCTGGTTCTCCTCCACCACCATTATTATCTCTCTCTTCTTGAGTCCCCCAAGTAGATGATTTCTCAAGTTTGGGTTTCTCTAGTCAAAGACGAAACGACTTATCTAATCTAATCAACAACTTAATAACTAATTAAGAAGAAAATTATGGTATTAGTTGGTAGAGCCGATATTTCTCGAGGTTAGTTAGTTTAACAAAACAAAGTTTACCAATTTGGACATTTTACACAGTAAACTTATAGGTAAGCTAGTAATCTGTTATCTGTGGTACAAGCGATTATTTATACTTGTTTTATTACTAAAATTGTATTGATTAACACGAGTTTACTAGAATAAAAATTACGAGATTTTACTTCCCATTCCCATATTTTAAGCTGTATTTTTTTTATTAATTTTGTTTAATATATAAAATTGTACGACTGTATTCTTATATTAGTAAAAGAGAAATACAAAATATAATAGAAATAATTACACGTAGACATACTTTTGACAAAACAAATAGCATCTACACATACTTTTGGCTAGTGGTATACTTTCCTTCTACTTTTTCAAGAGAAACATATTTTGTTAGACAATTATGCCCTTATGCAAAAGACTCTCTTTTCTTTCTCCCTCACCTCTGGTGTTTCTTCTCTTCTTCTTTCAGATCTCTCTCTCCCTCCCTGCTTAAACCTCTCAAATCAGATAATCATCACTTAATCTGATTCTCTTGCTTTTTTTTTTATATTCCCAGTTTCTTTTGGTCATGCAAAAAACAATAATTTTTTTTTGTTTTCTTTCAATTATTTGGTGAGTTTTTTTATTCTCTTGCTTTTCAACACATATTGGCTACGCATGTAGATTTTTGTAGATATTTATTTTTGCTAAGATTATGTGGATTGGTAAATATTCTAATTTTGTTTGTTTATCTGTTCCAGGATGTAAAACCAGGATTATGTGTAGTGATTTCAGGGCAGTGGAGTTGTGGACATATCCATGTGGATACCTGTTTATGACTAGTCGTGGATGATTCATGGTTTATTGCAGGCGAATCATAGTTGGTGTCCTGATAAAACATGAAAACTAATGAAGCAAATACATGTAGATAGAAAAGGGGACCAAGAACCCTGTGGACTATGTCCATGTGGATACACATATTCACAATCCAAAGCCGCCAAAGATGAGGTATCACTTATCAGTCTTGGATGGATAATGGTTTAGTGGAGGCGAAGACACCTAAACGGCGGCTGCACAAACTGATGGATATAGGTGGAAGAAGCTTAGAGATGGACACAATAACAGTAACCTCACCAACAACCAGAGACAATAATTGCGACAGAGAGAGAAGCGATGATCTAATGGGTGTAGGAAGCTTTAAGGGCATAGACAAAAAAGGTACTCACCACCACCACGCCCAGATATTTATTGTTGTGTGGAGAGAGGGTTACGACGAGAAACCGGCGTATGTCAAAAATCCCAGCGATGCAAAAACGAACGAGGGATGCGGCGAGGGTGAAAAATTAGGCGTTGTTAAAATTAGGGATCGAGAGCACGAATTTAGGGATTGAAAAACATGTTTTGTTTCTTACGGAGAAGAAAACAAAAAAATAATAAGATAATGTTAAGAAGTGAGATAGAGAGTTAACTTTTACGAGGACTCAATTGACATTTCCTTACACAAAAGTATAGGAGTAGTAAGAAGTGGGTCTTTATGTTATAAAATGTTGAGAAAGTGGGTCGGGTCAAAATTAAAAAATTAACCCGATTTTAACAATTGGATACTTTAAAATTGGATATTAAATCGGGTTTGGATACATACATCGGATACTTTCCATATCTAAATTTCAAATTATATTATTGTCATAATTAATTTTTTGATTTCCTAATAAATCTCTAACTAAACAATTATTATTCTTCTTTAACTTTTATTTGATATTATTTTTAATTTATGATATTATAACTACATAATAAAAATATTTACTAAAAATTTAGTTATTTTTTTTGCATATGTTGCAATTTGAATTTTTCAAAACGGACATATAATATTTTGGACAATGATTTAAAATCAGTATAAGTATGACCAATATTAAAACCATTGTTACATGAACATATTTAAAAGTTTCAAAAGTTTCAAAATATTATAATTAAAAGGTTCAAATATATAAAAAGTTTAGAATTTAAAATATTAAAAGTATTTTTTTGGAGACATAGATATAATTTTGGAGACATAATTTTTATTGATAAAATATATTATATATCAAACTATGTAAATTTTAGATAGTTTGTGGGTAATTTCTTAAAATCACAATTATAATTGTAAAGCGAGTTATGAATAATGTTTTTAAGAAAATGAATTATGTTACGGGTTGGTCTTTTAGAAAATATATTGTAAGTATGTAATTTTACATATATTCCTACTTCTACTACAAAAATGGTCAAGTTAAATAATTTGTCGATAAATATTCTTTCGCTCAGTTAAATTTTCACTGTTTTTTTAATTGTATCAAAACTCAATTTATTATTATTTACTTGCTTTTTTGTTTAATTTTTATTTAAACTTATTATATAAATATATGATTCACCATAATCGACTATATTGCAATAAAATTAAAATGTAACATATTCTAATCCGTTAAAGGTTATATATATATATGTAATTATTTCCTCTGCGCTGTAGCGCGGGTCTGAACCTAGTTTTATATAAGCGTAATTTGATCGACTTAACTAAATAAGTCTAGTATTCAAAAATGAAATAATTTTGGCATAACATTTTTCGTTTAAATAGTCTAATTTCATATTAAAATATTTGTGAGTTTCATCATAGTAGACAACCCATACATCTATAACCATAATTACTAGTTTTGCACCCGCGGTATACCGCGTGTATTTGTTTGTAAAATAATTTTTTTATAATACTTGATGTTTTATAGTATGTTTTATTTTTCTGTTTATAATGATTAAGTTAGTAGCTGATAATATGAACATAGATTTTTTTGGTGTTTAAATTTGATTTGTATTTACAGCGTCTTTATAAGAGTAGGTTAGATTCCGGAGTTTGTTTGTGTGTATAACGGATAATTTTATTTAAAATTGTAGCTAGTAAGTGTTGGACATTTTTTTTCTTGAGTATAGTATACCTTATTACTATTGTTGTTATTAAAAAATAGTTTGAATCAAGTTTTTGTTTATGTTTAACAAAATATATATATATATATATATATATATATATATATATATATATATAATGAAATATTAGTATTTGATTATTATTTGGTACTTGATTCAAAGTATAGTTAAGATTGTTACCTTGTTGAATTGAAACGCTATCAAAGTATAGTTAAGATTGTTAACTATACTATACTATCAAAGATTGTTAACTATACTATCAAAGATTGTTAACGCTATCAAAGTATAGTTAAGATTGTTACCTTGTTGAATTGACAACGCTATCACCTTTAATTAATTTCTGAGATTCTAGAAAATATCTTTATACACAACATTCATCGTTTGCTTTTTTAATAACCGGTGGGAAAATTTATATAAATTTCATTGTTTGATGGTTTGGCTCATAAATGTAAGATACAATATATATAGGTACGAAGGCTCATGAACTTTGAGATCGTTTAGGGTTCAACTTGATTAGCAAGTGTGAAATCTTTGATAAGAATCAATAATTTTTGAAATATAGCATAATTAGGCATTTAGTAGGAAAGCGTAATTATAATTTGAATGAGAAAATTCAGATTTGTTGATTTGCGATCATTTTGTTTATTGCCAAGATTACAATATTGTGATTGATAAAAATCTAAGATTACGTATCTTCTTAATATTATTCCGATTTGGTTTTTAATAACAATGAGTAATTAGTGTATTAGTGTTTTAAATGTTTGATTAATGGGCTGTGTGTGTAAAACTTTAAGCCCACGAATGTAAAATACTTTTTTCACACGTTTTCTCGTTTCATGATTCGAAGTTGATGGCCCCATAAAGCAATTCGGGCGGGTATGGTTTAGACGCGCGGATCCACTGAATATTTTCGTCTATGTTTTTTGGTTGACAATTTTATCCCTTTTGATTTTGACAAGGGCTCTCAATCATCAAAAATTAAAGGGTAAATATGAGATTTTTTTACCAAAATTTTCAGATTTTCAATTTTGTACTCCTCTTTAATATTAAGAAGATGTAAATTATAATCTGTTCCATCACATGACCCGTGCTATACAATCCCCTATGTATTAAAAGAGAAATACATTTGTGATTTTGGTTGGGTCAATTTAAAATTTTTAACCCGAATTTTTAAATTGGATATTTGATAGGTCCAATTTAATGCACATAAATGTTTATTTGCATATTAAATTTCATTGCATATTTATAGGTAACTATAGTTATATTATTTCTATATCTAATTTTGTATATTTTTCTAACTAACTAAAAATAATATATTAAAGTATATTATTCTCCTTTCATCTTTATGTGATCTTATTTAAAATTTATTATATTACAATATATAATAAAAATACAATATATTTTTACATATTTTGCAATTTGAATTTTTCAAAACGTAGATATATTAGTCGGTTGACAAAAAAAAGTGTATCTACAATGTCCCACATTTGGTAAAATATTTTTTGACAACAGTCCAGATTATTATAAATAAGACTAACAGGTTTTGAACTACCAATGAGCAAGTAAGCTTGATTTATCAAGCATCCAAATTTAAAAGTTTTATAATCTATTTTAAATTTGAGAAAATTAAAGAACTTTTAAAAATCTTCAGAATATTATAATAGTTACCATTTTAAAATGTTTAAGATAATATAAATATTAAAACTTTTAAAGATTTTAAGATTTATTAAAGTTTCAAAATATTATAATTTTTAATCTTTTTAAAGTTTAAAATACTAAAAATATTGAAACTTTTAAAAGGTTCATATAATAAATAATTAATATTAAAACTTTTAAATGGTTCAAATATTATAAATATATAAAGTTATATATAATTTTGAAACGGGTCAGAACATATAATAAATCATTGATAATTTTGCTACGGGTCATAACATGATACACAATTACACACCATTTAAGTTTTAC